CAACAGTAGACTAAAGACCATACATTTAATGTTTTTGTATGCCTAGGTCGGTGGGATTCTAAAGGTCCATGCGGTTGCATACCAGTTGTGAAAACAAAGCTGCTACAGGTACACTTTGGTGTACATCATGGGTTACATCCTTCCAAGTGGCATAATCTACACCATTGATTTTTCCCTACTTTTCCCACCAATGCACAGATTCCCCCAACATAGGTGGGAATATCATCCAAAGTGTACATCTAGAATCATTCTAGTGAAAATTGTGCGAATAGGCCTTTGGTGAAAATATTAATCAGGCCTGAATGCGAGGGGGAACAATGAACAGAAAATTTAATAAATAAATTTGCCCCTTGGGTTTTTGAAATAGTTTGAAACATTCATTGCTATAATGTATCCCCTCTCTAACAACTTAAGCTTTTAGATAAGGAGGTTCAATGGTTTCATGTAGCAATCAATATCTCAACATCCTCTATTGGTTGTTTCTATTAATAGTTTGTTATTCCTACAGTGAATAGGTAAATGGCAGTGTCTTCTTTTGGGGTTCTGCCAACTGATTAATGCTTGAAGTTTATTAGGCTGTGCTTGAGCAAGGGAACTTAGGGAAGGGGTCTCTTCCTATATGCCTATAAAAACTCTTCACCGTATTGAAATTGACTAAACCTATGTACCCATCCATTTCTATATTTGAAGCAATAAAATGTTTCCCAAATTCATCATCAAACACAACAAAAATGTGAGGTACAGTCAGATCACAATATATGAACATTAAGATTTAACATTCTTAAAGAGATTGATCTGGATCTAAAAATGTTGTTGAAGACAAAATAAATAATTAGCCTCCGTTCGGCAAATTTATAAAATGGTTTCTAAAGAGGACGTAGTGAGTCCCACAAAATGTGTGGATAATAATAAGTAATAGTTATGAATGTGTGATTGAAATTAATGCTCAACTTCGATTGAGTTTAAAACCATGTATAAATTTCTTTCCAAACGGAGGTTTAGATATCTCCTTTGACTAAGAGCTTAAGCTTTCTAATGAAGTGGCCCAACAAGGGATCAGGGCTAACAAAAGTCAAAAAGTCCTTAATTCGAGTTAGCCACCACCCATTTTATGAAAATTGTCCACGTGCTAGGTCCTTGATGAATAATGTATCCAATGTATATGTGAAGAAGCATGTTAAAACATAAATTAAATAATCAAATGGGCTCCCACTCTAACAACCTAAGCTTTATTCATAGAGGTTCACTGAATGCAATGCTAGCTCTCTGATGTAGCTATAGGCACCGGCAAACACATTTCATTCCCTGGCTTTTCTTTCATTATTTTTTCACGAAGAGAGAGAGAAAAATGTCCGCATCAGTCAAAGTGTTAGTATTTTTTATAGGGACATAATTAGATATACACGTAACACATATGTAAGATGCAGCATGTTTATATATCAGCTGAGGCTTAGAGAAAGGGCTAATCAGGGACAGAATTTAGGCACGTGAAAATCTAAAAATGTAATAATGCTCCAAAAATCTTCAAACAAAAAGATCCAGCAACCGAAGTAAGGAAGTGTATTAGTTCAAACCTTGGGAGTTGATATGTGCATGGTTGGGTATCTACCATGGACGGTTTCTTCCCATTCAGTTGCTGAGAAAATTCATCTCTAACTCTTTTTGAAGTCTACATATAGGAAAAGAAATTTAAACAAATTAATGAAAATAATACCACTGTAAAAAACAAAAGGGGTTGACATGAGCACAAAACTTACACTCATTTCATTCTTTGGGGGAAGTTTAACTCTAGCAGGCTCACAAATTTCATTGGCTACCCTCTCTCTATAAACTTTGGCATCCTATACACCATTGTCAAATAACAAAGCATCAGCAGATGAGCCACCAACTGCACAAAAACTGGTAGGGATATGCAATTTAAGACTATACCATAATCGTTCTTCTGGGCGTTCCTTTGTCTTCTGAAGTGTGATATTCGTCTCCCTTAATGGTAAAATTTGAAGGTGGGTATTCAATGTTTCCTCCACGGGAAAACTTTGGGCCTAAATCATTATACTTATTAAACAAGGGCTCAGTCCATTCCCCAGTCACTTTCCCACCATTAATTTGCAGATTAGGATGACAAGAAACAGATTCCATTCTCATCACTTCAACACTGTGTCGAGGCCTCGTTCGGTAACTGTCCCTACTTTCATAGCCTGGCATATATCTTCCAGAACCTTCAGGCAAATGCACTGACAAGTTAATCCTAGGGTTTGATGTACTAGTCTTCGTCTTGAACTTTTGCTGGAGATAACTTCCAGAAATTTCTGACCCATATGCCATTTTAGAATTTGTTCCATCCATGTCAGAGTTATGAGAGACGATGTATTTGTATTCATATTCCTATTGCGCATTTAAATGAAAAAAAAAAACAAATAATATAAAATTAAATAGCTGATATTTTCTGAACGAGAGAAAAACATGTCCACCAAAATAACTTGCCTCATTGAAATTAGGATACTTCAGGATTTTTGAAACATCAGGAATGGACCGCAGAACACGTTCTCCAGCATAATAAGGTTCTGGCAAGTATATAGATTAGAAACAAGTAATATCAGAAAACGGATGAATAAGATTGAGAGAGAGAGAGAGGGAAAAAAAAAAAGAGGAGATCAGATGGATATTTTTTGAAGCACACATATGTAAAGAGAATGAGTAAATAAAATATACACTTGGAAATTCAATATGTTAATAGAAATGGAGTGCAAATATTCTTAACTCAGAGAATGATAGCAACTAAGAGCAACAAACAATCACGGCAAAATGGCAAAAGATCTTTGTCTTAGATAAAGAGTAGAATCAGGGTTATTGGCTCAAAAATTGTTTTTAGAAATTAAGAAAGTAAAGTTACCCAAAAATAAGCAATTATAAGATGAAAGTGGCGACTAAAAAGCAAACACTCAGAAAAGTGACGAAAGTCGTATGATGACACACAAGTTCTGAAAAATATAGAGTTGATAACAAGCATAATCCATACTATGCAAGAACACCTGAAATCATTAAGTGTAGAACGTAGATTATTTCCACTACGTTGGAAATGTTTTAGCAAGAGAAATCATTTTCTTCACACTCTTGTTTATTACCTCCCAATGAATCATTACTAATTCATTGCAGCATTCTTGTTGCATACACACATTATAAGTCATCCGATTTGTCTAAACATGTTATGCATTCTGTACAGAATTATCAATATTTTTTGCTGAACTCTATAGAAAGGTGGACACCAGATACTTCCCTTTACAAAAGAAATACATCTTCTTACCAGAAATTCCACTATATACTGGCTATATTTTCCATCTAGTGTGCTTATTTTCATTGTCTTCCATAACCATTAATCTAAAGCATCAGGGTGCAAAAATCATGTGATAGAGCACGATGTAAATTTATCATTGTGATAGAGCATGATGTAAAGGGCAGAAAAATGTTTACCATTATTTTGTTCCTGCTCTGAAGACCCAAATGCACCAGGGGGAAGTGGATCAAATTCAATACCAAGTGGCGGACCATCTTCCCGGTAATGACTTCCCAGCTGCTTTTTTACAGCAGTGATAGCAGAGTTTTCAGCCTGACCTTTCACTTTCAAATAACCTGATGGGCCAGACCTAATTTTAACACCCTTTGTATCTCCATGAAACTTTGGTGTTAGGTATTTCGAGCTTGACATATCAGAGAAGTTACCATTATGACAAGAAGACATATTGCGTAATGATGAACTACCTCCTGATGATGCATCATTCATACGATTATAGTTACTGGTATAGTGATTACCAAGCTCATACGTGAGGTCGGCAGCAGAAAGTTCTTGGCCAACTAACCTTTCACTTTTAACTTCCTTGGTGTCAAAATTTCTATCTTCTCCCTGTTTTGTGCTACCACAGGAATCTTGCTTAAATCCACGGCCACGATCCTGTATAATCGCACTTGAACGATCTTGTCTGCCAATTGCAGATGGTTCCCCATTCAATAATCTCTTGTCCTTCAACCTTCTGTGGCAAAACCATCCAGAAACTTGCTTTTCTGACAGTCCTAATGACGTGGCAAGTTGCGATTTCAACGATTCTGTAGGATATTTGTGTTCTGGGAAAAAGGACAAGTTCTTCTTAACAATTGGTTACGAGGATAATACACTAATGGGACAGCTTATGGAGAGGCATCACATACAGCAACAGAAAGTTTACCATCATAAAATTTTTCCAAAGCATCAACCTGAGCATGTGTCTTCACCGTCCTTTTCTTGCTTTTCTCGAGAAGAGCTTTATCATCCTGTGAACGCGCCTCACATGTTTCTAAACGATTAACAGGAAACAAACATATACTAAATATCTGAGAAGATCAGCTAAACGCATATTAAAGTAAATGTGCACAATGACGTCCAACGTAAGTCCCCAATGGTTTCTGAGTTGAACTTGTGATATACACCAGTACTATGTCCAACGCCCCTTTCTCACGCTCAAATAAACAATTAAAAACCTTTTTCAGTGAACTAGAGTAGATTGCAAGAATCAAAATCAACAAAATGGCATCCTTGTATCATGATGGAAACTTAGCTTAAAATTTCCATGTTTCTCCATTTTCAAGCAGATATAATACAGAAAGTTTATAAAGGTGCATGAGAGACCTTAATTGTGCACATAATTGTCAATGGCATTACTTACTTTTCCGGGTTCAGATATACATAAGTACCCTTCAAAACAATGTAATATTTAAGTTGTTATATAACATCGGGAAATCATGACCTTGGAACTGTAGCACATTTCACATCTTTAAAAGCACATAAATGTATTCCTAAGTAAACAAGGACATCTCTTAACGTCCATCTGTTTTTGCTATTTCATATTATTCACATCGTATCTCTTAGCTTCAAAGGTAATACTAACGTGTGATTCAAAATCAGCTCACCGAATCAACAGAGTACATACTGTCAACAAAATCATTCAGTATTTTTCACATGGACTTAAAACAAGTGTTTCTGACACGAAACTTGACTACAGAACCAATATCAACCCACACTTTCTAAAAACTTACAAAACATCCCTGCGGCAGTGCCTTCTAAGTCATTAGACTCAGAAATCAAATGCATCATATCTTCCTTGTATCCACAATGTGAAATACCAAAAATTAATAAGAAAAATAAGCCTCCATGCATTAAGTCAAAGCAATGTCAACATCTGAACATCTGCCAATCGGATAACATCAAAGAACCACACAGTACAACCTTGTGAAAATGCATGGAGAATGATAATTCAAGAACAGTTTCCAGACCACGAAGAAAGGTACAATTGCAGAACCGAAAAGTATAGCTTTCTTAAGGTTGTTCCTGGTGCCTCAAACAATATACTTTGCCCTCGATTTCCAATTGCTTCAATGTCGATTCGTAGACACGCTCTTATAAAAGATGTAACATACCAATTACCACGAACTAAGTGTGTGTACAAATTCAATCAAACTGTGCGTTATCATAATTATAGTGAACCCCCAATGAAATGCAAATAACAAATAAAAACGAAAACCCAAGCCCAGGCTAGTTTCTCACCGAAATGCAAATGAAAACTGTCAATATACCAAAAACCCCCCAAAACCGGGATTTCCGAGAAACCCGCCGTAGCATCAAACCAATTGAAACCAAAATGCACATAAAAATGTATATCAATCGTGATCCGAAACAAGATGAATTGAAAATATGAAAAAAGAATAAAAAAATCCATACCTTCTTCCATGAGTCTTCTGTTTGATTTGTTTTCTCCCTTTCTTACTCGTTGCTTCTCTATTGACCCATCAACATTTCATTGGGCGTAGAGTTCAAGAATCAACAGAGAGGAAAGAAAGAAACAAATAACGTTTCTGGGTTACATGAGTATTTTAGTCTGAGTAGAAGGCTGGTTACAAGGGAGAAAAGAATTTATTATTTCCTTGTTGGGAGAAAAGTTGGAGGATAATCAGAAGTTTTTTC